CAGCCTGGGGATTGAGCTCACAACCTGGGCACGTACCCTTGACCGGAATCGAACCCAGGACCCTTCAGTCCACAGGCTGACACTCTATCCACTGAGTCAAACCTGATAGGACTAGTTTGATATTTCTTGCAATTATAGAAGGTCATATCCTTTGAAATGTTTAATATGGATTTTTAAAATAGCTTTTAGTCTTGTGTAATTTAATGCCAGAGATGTCTTTTTAAAAATAGACCCCTCTTCCAATAAAAAAGAATCCAAATCACCAGACACTTTTGAAAATAGTCACTAACACATTAGCCAAAAATTAAAATGCGTTTTAGTATGAATGCCTAGTAGTTTGAAAATGATTTTATTTAAAAATACCTCAAACTTATTAGGCTTTACTGTTTTCCAGATGACAAAAGGTAAATGGGATTATATTGTCTTATTAATTAGTTATGTTGTTTCTAGGTTGAATTCATGTTTTATTTATGTGACACTGTGCTAATTGAAAAAATAGTATAGTTCGTTGGCATACACAGAATTTTGTTCTTAATGACGCTTAATATAAAGATGAACCCTTCTGTTCATTAAAATCTAAGTATATAGTGAAAGCCTGTCAGTCAAATTTTGAAGCTATTCTTGGACAGGAATATAAGTCCCATTTTTCTGTTTAAGATTTAAATCACTTGTGCACTTAAGATTTAAAATTCTTTTCAAGTGTTTTTTAAAAATTGTTATTTAATACAATGATTTTATGTTTCACTAGCTCATGAGTAAGCTACTTGTAAGCTAGACAACAACATTCTTTTCCACAAACACCTTGACTTCAAGTAGCTTTCAAATATACTTCATAAATTTAACACTTCTGCTCCGTGGTGAGGATGATTACCATATATCCAGTTCTCTATACTTTCTCTCTAGCTTTATTGCTCCCCCCCTAGCATATAGCCCTTCAAGCCAGCTGACTTTTTTTTTCACCTATTAAGACCTTTTTAAATCTTTGATGGGTTTTCGGACTATTTCAGGACCGCTTGCATCTTCTTTTAACTGAGATCCAACTTGGAGCTATTTCTGGGCTTGCAATTGTGGAGTCTAGTTTTGGTTCTGCTGGTGTTTTGTTTTGTGAACTTGAACAAGACTTATTTCTTTGGGTCTCAGTTTTCTCTTTTGTCAATTAGTAGTAGTGTGTGTACAAGGAGAATGCTTGTCTAACTCACCATTAAGATTTTATTTAGTTCATTTGTTTTGACCTCTGAGGGACATAGAGTTCTTTTGTCCTTATTCTATGGGTTATCATACAGAACTTTTTAGTTCATTTTTCGTTTTTAATCTTTTATTATGGAAAATTTCAGGCAGTTAAAAATAGAGAAGAGACTGTAGTGAACCCTTTTATATCTGTCACCCTGCTTCAGTAATTACAATTTACTAGAGGCCCAATACACGAAATTTGTGCAAGGGGCCCCGGCTTGCCCTCACAGCCCCGGCTTCATCCAGAAGGTCGTCTGGAATGTCGTCCAGATGGTAGTTCTGCTCTTCGGTCTAATTAGCATATTAGCTCTTTATTGTATAGGATTTTCAATGATGTTTCATCTATAACCTTACACTCACTACACCATCTCTACCCCTGAATTATTTTGAAGCAAATTCCAGATAACATACGATCTTAGCCATAAAGATTTAAAAAATATATCATCTATATATATATATAAAAGGCCAAGTGACTGTCCAACTGTCCGACCCACCAGTAGG